AGGCAAACTTGCGGCTCCACAAGTATAATTATAACGTAACATAGACTATATCAATATAAAGGATATTGTCACACCTTATATCTCGTATAAAAATATATTGATATTTTTTAAAAACTCGATATATCGCCCAGCCCTAGTAAATATAGCTATTAAATCTTATGTGAGTGTGTACTATGCTAGTGCTGTGAATTACAAGAAGAGAGGAAACCTAATGGTAGGGGACCAGGGGGGTAACCCACCAACCACACACAACCCCACCTTCCACAATCACACCCCACAGAGGAGGCCTTAGCCCACCACAGCCCAGCGAGGTGGAAAAGCAGCTCTAGAGGACCCACCCAGGTGGAAACCACTGGGAGTTACTATTAGGTACCAGGCAAAAGGTGCAACTGCAGTGAGGTGGGGTCATAGTAAAGGAGGTGGAACCAAGCCCACCAAAAACACGGCTGGGCCCCGTACATGCTAACTGTATAGAAGCCGGCTTGCATGGGGCATGCCAGCTCGAGCAGCTCAGGCCTCAACAAAAGCCACACGTGTTTCTCATACTGACCTCAGAGTCTGTAGTTTACAGTGAGGGCTTTCCAGATAAGCACACAGACCCTTGACATCGGATTCCTTCTGATCATTTCCACTCAGGTGCAGCTCTACCAGATGGGAGGGGTTAGTCTTTAAAGCAGAGGTCAAAGCAGCACAGCTCACCTCTGACAGGCTGCAGCCTTTAAGTCTGAATATAAACATTAGAAACAAATAAATTTTAATCGTATTCAAAAAGTAAACTGATATAAATGTTTATTTAATAAATATCACAGCTCAAATCAGTAAACTGACCTCAGAATCCTAAGTTGACAGTTTGGACTCTTCAGTCCGGCGGACAGCTTTGCACCTGAATCCTGCAGGTTGTTAAAGCTCATGTCCAGCTCTGTCAAGTGGGAGGGGTTGGACTTCAGAGCTGAGGCCACAACTTCACAGTGAGTCTCTGAGAGTCCACAAGAACTCAGTCTGTGAACAGAAATAAAATGTGAGTTATAAAACAGATGTGAAGCATCCAAACAGAAAACAGAGTGATGTCATAATCTGATGTTTTGGAGGAACGCTGTCTCGTTTCACTTTGTACTGTACCACTGAACATGGTTGAAATGAAAATAAAGCCACTTAAATTGAAAAATAGTATATCGAGAGCTCATCGAGAAGGAAACATCTGAATTAAAAGGACTTTATGATGCTGGAAGGTCTTTGAGACAAATAGGATTAAGGATTTAGTAAAACACGGCAGATATTCGATGATTGGTGGGCTTCCATTTCTTCAAACTGTGTGGGCAATCTCTTCTGGACTGAAACTGAGTAGTCATGGGTTCATGCAATGAGACGATGACCCCAAGCATTCTTCAAGTCTGTACAAAGATTACCTGACCAAGAGAAAGCAATGTGAAGTATTGGAATTGATGTGATGGCCAAAGTACAGATTTGATTCCAACTGAACAGATCTGGAATTTAGTGGATTCAAAGATAGGTTACACAAAAGTTTCATCCAAAGCAAGTCTCTGGGATCAGCTAGAAACAATCTGGAACTCAACGAGAAAAGAGACGGTAAAGATGTTTGATTTCTGCCGCACCACATTTAGTAAACGTTTAACTTACATTATTATAACATAACTAAGATTCTAAGAAATCTTTGTTGATTCAAAAACTCAAATGTTGCAGGGAAAGCACAAACAGAATGGAAAAGTAAGATCTTGGCTCCGACTGTGAAGTCATGCATTGTGTTGCATTGTGCAGGTTAGCTGGGCATGTTTTAAGGATGGTAAAAAGGAGATACCTCCCATGCGTTCATCACACTGCAGTGCATGGTGCTCATTACCCACTCCTGGGGTCCGTTCTTCGTACCTCGCTAAGTAAGTTAGCTGGATTTGATTGTTGA